ACCCGTGGTGGGCAGAGCACAGATAGTCCAAACATAAATGAACATCAAAAGTTTTTTAAATTAAGATAAATGTTTATATTTTATTTTCCATTTTCTCTACTATCTCATTAACTATCTATTATCATCAACATACAATGCAGTGAGATCTTTAAAATTAACAAATGGAAATACATACATATCTTTCAACTCTTCATAGAAATCCATTAGAATAGTTGTAATTTTCTTTTATGCATAATTTCACGTCTTTATATTTTCATTTATAATTTATTTTTAATTTTCCATTCAAATTCTTCATCTTTTATCATTTATGCTGATATGTCAACTAATGCTTGCGGGGTTTTATGAAATTATCTCAGCAGACTCCCCACAGACCTATGTTGCCTAAACAAGATGATGCTTACACATGCCTTGTTTATAGCCTTTCACAATCCAGGCAACAAGTTAAACTTATAAAAATCATTCAACTCTTCAAATACATAATACATAATTAACTAACATGTAAAATTAAGACCTAAATACAATATAACTGTCTTTAACTATAGCATATTTAGGTAAGAAACCACAGTAAGAGCTTTTGTTGATCAAGCACACAAAATACTAACAGAAGTTGCATCTACTTCAATACAAAATCTGTTTGCCAATTTCAAATTAACTGTTGGTGGAGTATAGTGTAAACTGAGCTATTTCTAATGACTATATATACACTTGTGTCAACTAACTACATGTTCATTGTAGATATCAAGGCAAACTATAGAAGGTGGGTGTGGCACCTGTTAAGGGTTGGAAAATTTATATCTGTTTTCCAGACAACACAATTTATCTGTATTGCCAGCTTATGTGGCTATGAGGGAACTGCCACTAAATTCGAGATTTTTGTAGCATGTGGATCATGTGACACAAAAACTGCAGTTTAAGTATTTGTTTGAAATGTTTCCTTTGAAACAAAGTAACTACAACTTAGATAACATAAAAATTCAAATTATAACATGCATTATGTCAATTTCATTGACATGTGTTGAGATAGTGAAATGATTATTACATTTTGAATGTGTCAGTACCATAAGCAGAAAGGAATTTAAAAATGGCACCAAAAGTTATAGGGTTAATAATGTGAAACAGTGTGGAAGGGCATTAAGAGCTGGGTGTTGAAAATGGGTAGCAGAAAGCACCCCTACTGCCACTAATTTGGATACTACCTCTTCATAAAAAAAAGTTGCCCTGACCATGTGTATACCATGTTTTAAGTATATACACAGTGAGTTATTAAACCTATACAAAACTTTGGGTGAGGTAATAATGAATACTCTAATAATATGTTATGAATAAGTTATGTGAAAGTTAGGAAATTTTTTTGTATTATTTATTATAGCATCCACTTCACATTTATTTAAGTTCATAACCTGGACAAAAAAATGGGTACCTCAGCTTGTACTAAAATAAAGCATGGTATTAATGATCTCATGGTGAAGTTCGGTACAGCTAATGTGTAATAAATTTTGTTACAGTTTTAAATCATAAACTCTAAAAGGTTAAAAACTTTTTACTTTGTTCAATTTTTTTTTTGTTAGTTGTCTATGTATGAACATTGGTATGAATTGATTTTTCCTCTAAAGCTCAAAGCTCTTAAGTTATCAGGGTTATCTCTATAAGCTTTGTAAAGTGCTTGATATAGCCCAGGAAAGTCAGGTTCTAGGGCGACTTAAGGTCAACCCTCCATTGGAGATTGAGAAGCCTTGGGTTTAGTACAGTAACTCCACCTAAAACAGCAAAAACAAGTTGAAATGTCTCTATTTTTCATAATTTCATGTAACTGCTATTTGTTATTGGTTTGATGATGAGGATGTAGCAGAACATTGCCTTAAAGTGTGGGAGAGCAAATGGTAAAAGTCATTTATTAGAAAATGCAGCATTACGTACAAAAATATGTGATTCCTCTCACATTTTAATGAACCTTGTGATTTTTGATGTGTTGAGTTTTATAATTCTATACAAATAGAAGTGATCTCAGTGGATTTAGAAAAACTTGTTAATATCTTGAAATTGTATTAAAATATATTCATATACAAAATAATTACCAAAGTTTATTGAATTAACACCTTCCACAAAGCTAGGTCAATTTGACCGACGTTGTAACCTTAGTTATCATTACATTTTCCATGCTATAAATTTTAATAGGGTATGTGTATCTTCACAAAATTTTGTCAGATTTTCAGTTGTCATTAAGAATCATTTATATACTAAAATCAGAAGTTTTAATTAAGAATTTTTATAAAATTTTGCCCAAAATTATATGGAGTCAGAGTTGACTACCCTCAGTGATTTTTGTGTTAATATTAAAAATACTTTTCTGTATCCGAAGATTTTCAAATTTCATTTGTATAACCTCTAAAACTTCAGAAATAAAAATCAGTCATTCTTCTTTCTGTCTTTCTTTTGTTGTTGTTGCTAGAACTTTATATTTTATCTACCCTAACTTTATATGGACTTGGTTGATTTGATCAATCTTGTAACCACCATAAAAATATATATATATATAATAAATCTAAGCTATCTTATTTTCTTTTTAGAATGACTGCAAATTGTAACAGAAATCTACATTTGTATATTCTTAATAGCTTAGGGCTTGAAACAGTATCCATCTGTTTATTTAATTTTGTTGTTTTATTGCCACTTGAACTATGTTTAACTAATAATCCTGCCACACAAGTTGCGAATGTGTAGCTCATGTTATCTTATCGAATGACATAAAGCATGAGCTACTCACTTGCATACATTGTAAATAATTTTATTTTTGTTATATCACCTAATCTAACCTTATGTAACCAAATACCTATCTAATTTTTAAATTTTATTTATTATTATAACAATAAATATAGTACTTACATTTGCCCTGTTTTTTTTACTGTCTTTTGCTGATTAAATTTAAGCCTACCTTTTTTTTATACTAATGGTACTAGTACGCTAAATTTTTATTTATTTATTTAAGTAATGCAACTAAGAACACAGAAAAATAACAAACACAATACAAAGATTGTCCTATAACAATCATAATTTAACTGGCTTTGTAACTATGGCTAACAGCCTTAAGATAATTATTTCAGTTTTTTGATTTTCTAGTCTATGGCTTCATAAATAAATACTATTGAAGGCTATAAAAATTTTGATTTGCTTTTGTAATACCTTATATTATAATGAGTAAGTTGCATTAAATTCCATACTTCAGAGAGGGGTGGTAAATAAATTAGAGAAGGAGAAAACATGGAGAACAAATGTCATGATTCTCATACAAGGGAAGATTGAAGATTTCTTTATAAAATTATGTGAAACTTGTACCATATTAAAACTAGATTTATTAACTATGTTTTGATGCAAAGTTTATTTACGTATATTGATAATAAAATAGTTTAGTTACAATTTGACTGTAACTCTAGAAGGTTTTGACATGAACACTCTGTCCTACTCTTAGTGCAAGGATTAAGTATATGTATATTTTCCATAGATTTTATAAAGCAACAATTTCATGATTAAATGGCATTAAAGTCATTAAATAAATAATTAGTTTAATAAATTCATGCTTTTTTTAAAGTTAGAACAATATAAAAATGACAGTTATTCAACTTTATCATGAAGTATATTTAGTATTAATTTGAATCAATTACTTTGCCAGACTAACATCAAGAAACCAGGTCTGTTGAATGGACCAGGAGGTAATGATCTTTCCAAGATTCTTCCGTGTGTAGCACTGGATTCTACTGGATGTTCTGTGGATGAAGTTTTGCAGCTCCTGTGGCTGTTTAATAGTATGTGTAAAGCAAAGGGACAGAAAATCACTCAAGGAGGTTAGTGGAAGTGTTCACTCATTCATCTATAATTTGATTATTCTTGACATAGTAAGGTAAAATTATTACTTGTTGCAATCTATATGTATTTTTCTCTAGATCATCATTTTAGTTTGAGGTAGTAGGTTTGATTTTCTTTCTTCAAAATTATTAAACTTGCTAACCAATTTTGCTTTTATTAACTCAAAAGGTCAAATATTTGGTATTGAAGAGGAAGAAATTACTTTTAAATATATATATATATAGTGATTAAGCCAGACTTCCAAGATAAACTTTAAAATTAGCAAAGCTTAAAATTTAAATGCGTGATATAAACTTTACAATCGATCACATTTTAGTGTTAAACTGACTGAGCTATGACAATTTGTTGGTAACAAATGTGTGGATATAAGAGTTTAGAAATAATTTTGTGATCTTTTTTTTTTACGTAAATTATTGCCTAATGTAAGCATGATTTATTCTGTTGTATTAAGTTACAAAAAGAAGTTGAATTGATGAACTACTATGTGTTTTAGCTTTAAACAGTTAGTATGATCATATTGCACAATTGTTCCCTACTGTTTATTCAGTCTTTGACATTATATAAATTTAAGATTATTCTAGTTCTTGTTACTAATTCTGCCAGGTAAATCATTGTGTGATATTTAGTTTATTGTTTTTATTTTATCTTAATGTATATTTTTTGTAACATTGTTTAATATTTTATAATTTTCAATGAAATTAAAATAGGTGCTTAATCTTCAACGTAGTCATCTGGAAATTTTAGGATTTTGCAAGTGTCATATGTAGGTGAATGAGATATTATAGTATTGAATTTGAAGTTAGTAGCTTGTCTATTTTTATTTATTAACATTCAAAGTATATCAATATCATTGTAAGAAGAATATTCTTTGGTATAATTTAGATACTAAGCCTTTTATTATATACTGTGTAATTGTTAGGTTAGTGATAACACTATGCAATAACGTGGAGAGTTAAGGGCATGAAAATGTATCCGTCTTTGGTGTCCTTTTGATATTAACCATTTTCTTGTATATTGTATAGTTGTTGGTTTAGTGATGAAAAAAGTACCTTTCTAACACTACAAAGTAATATGAAAGGTTAGGGCAGAATAATTATATGTATATATCAGTGTTGTAGGTCTTGGGACCACCCTATGGAAGGTCTGTCTCAACCCTCCAGGTCTCAGTCTGAATGTTCTACAGGCTTTGAAAACATGCCTGGCTAAATTCAAAGGTTTTAACAGTATTAGACCATTCATCTACCCAGGATTATTGAGCACTAAATATTGATTAAGCAGCAGTTCATACATGGCACAGTGTAGCATCAAAGATTTTTTACTAGTAAAACTCCTTGGTAGTTGGTACTACATCTTTGCAATAATGTTTATTGCACCTCCCTCATTTTTGCTTACGTCACCAATTACCATATCATCTGTACGTCTAACTGCAGTTATAACATGTGCTATTCAAAAATAATTGCTACTATACATTGCA